TGCCGGCCACATGACCACGGAAACGTCTTCGGACAGCGCTGGCTCTTTGGCTTTGAAACGGAGATGAGCACCGCGATTCTAGAGTCGGACTCGACTGGCTTTCGAGCAAGGGAACCTTTACCTTTACCTTTATATGTTGCCATTCCCTGGCCCACTGCCATCATTCTACAACTGAAAATTCTTAGAAACAATTTAAATTGAAATGATTATTATCTTACCACTTCAGGATTTTTTTAGTGAAACAGATTATGTATGGTACAGCCAAATGCTAAGTAATACATCAACTCAGAATTGTTAACGGAAAAGAAAAATATTTCAGTGTACAATTTAAGTTTAGTTTAATCAGTTGTTCAGACAGCTGTATCTGTTATTTTAGAACTCTTTAAGTTTGACCAATGTTAAAAGGATTAAGACAATGAAGCAAAATTAGCACCAATGCATTTGGATCTGGTATGTGGAATCCTTGGAATGGACTCGGGTCTGGCATGAGGAATGCTGAGAATGATGATGATTAGAAATGGAGGAAGACTTAGCCACATTCCCCTTGTTCTCTGAGGATAATGGGTAAACCTTTCTACATTCATCACCAAGCTAATAATGGCACTTCAAACTTTGAAGCCAAGAAGTTTTCATTGTTTTTGTGTGTGGGGAGATGGTGGGTTTGGCTAATTCACACTGTTTATATTGTGTAAAGCTAACATGGTGTCTCGTCACCTTTTCATGAAAGTTATGGGTAGGAAGAAAAATACATAGCCCCTGTGTATGCTACTGAGATTGACAGAAGCAAACATATCAGTGGAGGTGAGCTTTAGAATGACCAGTTGTCTTACATTACTTTAGCATCTTCTGGGATTTATAATCTCTTTGTCATCCCATAATGGATATAGTTTTTGAATATGTATATGTTTTTGATACAGTGTTGGATTCAAGTGTGAAAGCTCTAGACTCAGATCTCTAGTCCCTTTTATGAAGCTCAGTGACAAATTATCATCTCCCAGTCCAATCTTTATTAGTGGTTTTGTGAGGATAAAACAAGACATGTGAGATGAACTCCTCAATGTGAGGGAGGGGTAAAATAAAATAAAAAATAGCAAACAGGAATTATCTTCTTTAATCCTCTTTTCCATGTCCTTAGTTCCATCAAATTTCTCACTCATGTCCCAAAACATTGTTTTAAATCTGACTGTCTAAGCTGACTAACTACTCCAAATGGCAGTAAGAATACTGTTTAGCAAATTAGACATAATTGGACAAACTGCTGCATAGATCCTTCAGAGAAATGAGGCAGTTAATGTGAGTGAAAATTAAAATGAGTTACTTTGAATTACTAATGCAGTAGGACAGACTTCATTGACCCACAAAGTTAGTGTGTGAGAGAGTACCCCTTGGTAAAGAAGCAATTCATGGGGAGAATTTTCTTTTTAAAATGTAAATATGCTATTATAATATTTACCTCTTTGAGCATTTTATAGTAAGAATGTAAACAATATATTCTCAATGTTTGTTATCCTCAGTTTTTATCTTAAGACATGGCTATTCCTCCCATCTATATATATTAAAGAAAGTCCCCTCACCGTAAAATCAACGCCCAGGCCAAACCGCTGGACCTAGAGACACCAAATTCGGTGAGAGCACTTCTACAGTGGCATAGGTGCTCGCTAAGAAGGGATTTTTAGAAATTCGACCTCTAAGTGGGACAAAAGGGGTAAAATGTGCTCCCCCCATTGATTCCTATACAGCTGCCAGGTGGCTGACTCTCTGCACACACCACTTTCTGATTGGTCAGCTGCAGAGCTCAGTGTTCTGAGATAAAAAAGCCAACAGTTACAGGGGACTGCGGCTAATGACAGTTGAGGAAATCAGGAGTGGCCAAGAACCACTGTGAGGTGAAGCAAAGCTGCTGGCCCAGCCTCTCTGATGGCTTCCAACACACTCCCCCCCACCTCCTACACCTCACAGGCGGTTGTCTATCAGGTGCAGCCCCACCTCCACAGTGGCTTCTACTATTCCTCCCCCCTCCCCCTCCTACACTGGACAGGCAGCTGCCTGTCAGGTGTAGGAGAGGAGGTGGGATGCTTACAGCCACCGGGGAGGTTTGCTCAGCAGGATTGTCTTAACACTGCTGCTCGCCCAGCCTCCCTGATGCCGTTAAATACAATCCCACCCCCAACACCAGACAGGCCGGTGTCTGTCAGGTGTAAGAGCAGGGCCAGGGTATGAATGTTTTTGGGGAGATAGTAAAGAGAATTTCTAGGAGCCATTTCAATGTGTGCCTCCCTCATGAACCTGAAGAAATGTCCACCATATCACCATTCCCTCTCACCAACTCCTCCTCACAACTCTTACTGCCCCCAAGAAAGCTCCTGGCAAACGTCGAGCCAGGTAACCAACTCTGCAAGGAGGAGGCAACTTAGGAATGCGGCAAAGACAGTTGCACATAGTACTCTTGCAGTGCACTGAGCTGCACAGGCCAAGTACCAGCAAGATCACCCTGAGGTGCTCAGAACAACACAGTCTCCATATGAGCAAAACAATCCAGGAACACAAGTAGAGAGGCCATCACTTTTGTGGAAGGTGGCAGGAGTTGACTTAACAGATGGCTGCTTCTTAAATGGACAGTTCTATGTGGCCTGCTCCAGAGTGAGCTCACCAAGCAGCCTGGTGATCCTAGCACCTGAGGGTAGAACCACCAATATGGTCTAGAGAGAGGTCCTTCAGCAGAGGGAGGGTAAAGTACGTATGTCTCACTTCATTTCTTACACTACAATCTTCTCCATTAGAATTCCTACAACAAATGTCACATTTCAAATTTCACATCATCAGTATTATAACTGGATTTACAGAACTTAAATACTGTAGCAAAGCATGGGTATCAGGCTAGTTTACAATAAAATCTGTTATGAAGGCAAATTAGTATTTATCATGGGACATATCCAATGGCTGCAACAGAGCAACCATGGACACCATGAGTTTACACATACTACAAAGGTGCTACTCCTTTATCACAAACAGATCTTCTCTGTTAGAATTCCTACAACAAATGTCACATTTCAAATTTCACACCATCAGTATTATATGGAACTTAAATACCATAGCGAAGCACGGGTATCAGGCTAGTCTCTAATAACTCAAGGTGGCATACAGAATACATATGGATAATACATTGAAAGTTTCTTACTGTGTACACCTGCTGATCTTTCACATGCTAATTTCAATATGCTGTCCCAGTCTATACCGGCACTAGAGTTAGACTGGCCTTGTCCTAACATAATTTAGCACTGGATTATCTCCAGATATGCCAGTGTATTTTCAGGATATGTGAGTGTATCTTGAAGATACGTCATCATGGTGCATAGTTGTTCAAGGGGACAGGGCTTAATATGGCATCCACAGAGACCCATCCCCAGGGTTTCACATCATTTTAAAATGTGATTGCATCTTTAAAGACATTCTTAGTAAATACTTGTTCTGTTTTTGCATTGTTCTGTTTCTTCATTTGATAATATGCCAATCTGTGTTCATGTCCATAAAGAGCTCTTGGTCTGCTTTGTCTCTGCAACTTCTTTGGGCTTGCTCTAATCATTGTCATCCCCCTTCCGGGGTTTCCCTGATTTTTCTTTGGGTTTCCCCAAACCTGTGGTGGTATGAAAGTTCTTCAGAAATCATTTCCAAAGTGGGTCTGCAGAATGCATGAGGTGAAAGGTGCAGATTTCTGTATTTCCTAGCCTACAATGAACACCATTTCCCCTCCTGCCTGCCATCGCCCCTCCATGACCACCAGCAGGCTTTTTGTTGGCTGTTTCAAACATTATCATTGGTAGATGTACACCAACTACAAATAGAAAACTAGCAGACCCTTCTGGAGGTGAGAGGGGCAGAAAATGGCAGACTGGAGGAGAAAGAATGGGGAATTGCCTTGTGCCACTAAGAAGGCATTGAGACCAAATTGTTGTTGTTGTTCAGTTGCACAGTCGAGTCCGACTCTTCGCGACCCCATGGACAAGATCTCGCCAGGCCCTCCTGTTTTCCGCCGTCCTCTGAAGTTTGCTCAATTTCATGTTCGTTGCATCTATGACACTGTCTAACCATCTCATCCTTTGCCGTCCCCATCTTCTTTGACCTTCAGTCTTTCCCAGCATCAGGGTCTTCTCCAGTGAGTGCTCCCTTCTCATTTGGTGGCCAAAGTATTTGAGCTTCAGCTTCAGTATCTGGCCTTCCAGGGAACAGTCAGGCTTGATTTCTTTTAGGATTGACTGATTTGATCTCCTTGCAGTCCAGGGGACTCTCAAGAGTCTAATTCAAAAGAATCTATTCTTCAGCACTAGGCCTTTCTTATAGTCCAACTCTCGCAGCCATACAGTACTACTGGGAATACCATTGCTTTGACCATATGAACTTTTGTTGGCTGGGTGATGTCTCTACTTTTTATTATGCTGTCAAGGTTTGCCATCGCTTTCCTCCCAAGGAGCAGGCGTCTTTTAATTTCATGGCTGCAGTCACCGTCTGCAGTGATCTTGGGTCCCAGAAACTTCTTGCAGTCCAAATTACCCCCATGTATAAATGACCTGTGGCAAAAAGAATCCTTTGAAAAATCATTTTACCCCATTTTAAAAAGTTACCAACTTGGTTTTGCACTAAACAGCAAAGAACAGAAAATAAATTGCAACCACTTATACAACTTTCCCAAAAATACCAATTAAAACATCACACTTTGAAATTTCAGTTTGACTAAATCCTTCTGTTGTTGTGGCAGTAGTTAGTACTTTTACAGTTTTCGAATGCTGTACTCTTTAAAAAAAAGGTTTGGTCCTGCAGCAGCTTCACAGGTAATTGATATAAACATAACTAGTATAACTAATATTTTCTTAATGTAAGAACTTAAATGCGTACATTTATTTTAGGATGGGAAGAAAAAGGGAAGTGTAACGCTATTTCTAGCTGAAGTCTGACACTATTGACCTAAGTGTTTCTCCCTCTTTCCTTCAATCTGGCAAATGCAGCTTTTACAGAAGAATGGACAGATATCCAGTATTAACGGAATGGCAGAAGAGCAATTGGAGCTCAACCTTAAGCCAGAGGAGCTGAATGGACAAAAAACAGAAGAAGTTGTGACAGACGGTAAGGAGACATCTACAGTGATAGGAGAGCTTACACTGGGCTGTGGAAAAGGCAAGCCTGGAGTTGGGACCATACGCCTTTTTCTATCATTTACAGACCCTCAAGTCCCTGATTCAGATATTTTTATGTGGGCCCCTCTCCCACAGAAAAAACACACCAGATGATGGGCACTGTCAGTGTTGATAGCAGTAAACCTCTTGGTGTGTTAGGGAAGCAGTGCTCAGATTCAGTCCTCACTCCAAATATGATCAGTGCCGTTACTGATTCTGTTTAATACAAGTGATCTACTCATTTATTTATTTAGCAAATGTTATGCTCCCCACTCCAGGAAACGTGCCTGAGGCAGCTTACAAAATAAAACATGATAAAAACAAAACATTAGACGTTATTAATTAAAATCCAGCATTACAAACTCAGCCACAGCATAAAAATATAGATCATTGAGTGGCTTAAAATAAAAGTTTAACACTAAAGACCCCTTAATTAAAAGCCTGGGTGAACAGAAGCAGTTTGACCTGTCACCTAAAAGACAGCAGAGTAGGCGCCAGGTGAGCCTCAAGGGGAATGGCATTCCATGAATGAGGTGCTACTACTGGGGGGGGGGGAAACCCTGTCTCTAGGTGCGACCTGCTTCACCTCTGAAGGTGGAGGCACTGAAAGCAGGACTTACGAGGCGATCTCAACTGGTGAGATGGACAATATGGGAGAAGACAGTCCTTCAAGTATCATGGCCCTAGGCCATTTAGTGATTCAGAGTTATGAACTGGAACATTGAATTGAGCCTAGAAAGAAATGGGCAGCCAGTAGGGTTGCCAAATCTACTTACCTTGGTGGCGGGGGAACCTCGCTGGGCTCCGGGAGCTCTCTGGTGATGTGTGTGCGCGCAAAGCGCGTGCGCGCCGCCAGCACGTCACAGGAAGTGACACGCTACATCACTCACGTTGAGGGCGTGGCCCAGATCATCGGAGGGAAAACCATAGAGTTTTCCCTCCGACGATCGGGGCCACGCCCCCAACGTGAGCGACGTGGTTGTGTCACCTCCGGTGACGCAGCCACGCTACGCTTCGGGGGGTGGAGTTCCCCCCGGGGCCCGATTCCGTGGCGGCAGAAACCGGGCCTCCAAAGCGGCGGTTTACCCGCCACCCGCCCCCACTTTGCAGCCCTAGCAGCCAGTATGGATCTTTTAGCATGGGAGTGATATGATCCCTGTATTCCTGTCCCTGACTGTAGCCTGGTTGCTGCATGAGCTGAAGTTTCCAGACTGTTTTCAAAAGCAACCCCATGTAGAACGCATAAATCAAACCAGTAAGAGTAGTTCAGCAGTGGAATTGGCTACCTAGGGAGGTGGTGAGCTCCCTTTCACTGGCAGTCTTCAAGCAGCAACTGGAGAAACACTTCTCATAAATGCTTTAGGCTTATCCTGCATTGAGCCAGGGGTTGGACTAGATGGCCTGTGTGGCCCTTTCCAATTCTATGATTCTATGATTCAGTAATCTGACCAGTCCAGGTGCAGGCACATTACTAGTATGCATAAGAATCATGTTCCCTGCCCCACTCCTGTCCAAACATGCAAACAGAATAAAGGTCTATTGCCTCCAGCTCTCTGCCTTTGCAGCCTGCAAGTTACTCTTACTCAGAGCACAAATAACTTCATGGTGCACAGAACAAGCAGTTGCATAGATGTACAAGCTTTAAGTGTGGTCATTCTGTTCTCTGCAATGGGCCTTCATGTTGCCTGTGCATGTATTCATGTGCACATGTGGGGGAAATGGTAAAACAGGACTCTAATGAGTCCTGTGAGCAGCTCTGCTCCTGCACTTGCACTAGACTTGGCTCTGTGTGAAATATCCTGAATTTTCCTTTGAAACATTGTTAGTCAATATCTCAATAAAGGGGCCTTGGGCAAGGCATTAGTGCTGTGGTTAAAGCTGTTAGAAAATTTGTCCGCATAGGCATAGGTTTTGTTTTCAAGGATTTATTGTGGCTTCCTGAGCTGACAAGGAAAACCCATTGTCAGGAAGTCAAAATACCTCTAAGAGTTCCTGTATCATTGTGTAAATGTTTGGGTATTTTACATTGTTCTACATAATGCCCAAGTGAACTACTTGTCTACTTAACTGCAGGAGACCTAGTCAGTTTACCGTCCTCTAGACATTTGCTCTGCCACCCTGAGTACAGCTGCTTCTACATTTGGGCCCAAGCCTCTTACACATCTGTCCATCAGCTTGTCCATTGATTTAAAGTATTACTATCTGCGCACACTTTAAAAAGGCGTAGAACGGATTGTCTCTTTGTTTATTTTCACAGTATTAGCTAGAAGTGAAAACTCCCACTGAATTTCTTTCATCCAGTGCCCTTCATTCCTCCCTCACTGCTGGGCTGTGACTTGGTAGTCGTAAAGAAGAAGCAGGCAGTGGGATGGGGAAGGGAAGGGCAAATTTCATGTATTGATATGAACTAGCCAGCTGTATATCACTAGCTGTAGATAAACTAGCATGTTATGTCTTTTTGTTCTAAGGCTACTTTTTAAAATCACAAAATCAGTTTTCAGTTCCATATTTTCCTTTCTGAATTTTACAACAAAAGTGATTGTAATGTGTTTGTTTATTTTGATAGAATATTTTTTTCTTCCGTTCTATTGTTAGGACTGTATTTATTTTTCAGAATTACAGACAAAAATTCAAAGGCTTGCCCATGTCCATTGACAGGAGTTAAAGCTCATTTAGTTTGTGACTCATAAAATGGTTCTGTTTATTCTTTTTGTATACAGAAAGAAGGAAGTCTGTATGAAAGATACATTCAGAAGCAAAAGTTACTACTAGTGCTGTCTTCTTTTTACGTTTAAGAACAGCAATAGATTGTAGACTGGAGGCACAAAAAAGACCAAGTCTGATGCAAATTCTTTGTATAGGCAAACTCTCTGAATACCAAATGTGAGTCAGAAAGGGAAAATATGTAGGGCTGCCCCTTCCACAATCCAGTTAAACTGAAGTACTTGAACCGAAGCCAGTTTTGTCCTGCTGATTAAGGTGGCTTTAAACAAAGTATTTCACTTGGTCAGAGAATGTGAGGGATGATATAGTGTTTACATTTTAGATTTGCTCTTTTCATGGCCTATTTGGATACAAACCTCAAATATTTAGCTGTAATCCTTCTAGCAAGTGATTTAAACCACTCACTGAGCAGGCAGTCTGACTCCTCTATGTCCGCAATCCCTTCCCTTGCAAGCAGCTGAAGAGTTTTGTATTTGAGGGCACACCATCCTGCCTTGGCAATAGCAGTGCTGTGATTCCATCACTTTGTGTGTGATAGCTCGTATGATAAGGAGGTAACAGAGCAAAGCTGGGAGTGTCTATGGTCTTCCCAAACTGTTCAAGTTTACCAGGGCTGTATAGGATGTGGTTTTGCATAGCAGTACAAGCTATCACTCTGAATTTTGTTGCAGTAGTACACAGTTTATAGAACCAGGGTGTCCAGATGAATCGCTCTATTCTTAAATCCCCCATTGCATTCTGGAAACTAACTAGATCCATAAATATCTGGAACACTCTAATAGGTGCCTTTCCCTGCAGAGGTGAGCAGCTATGTCCTAGACCTGCAACACTATAAATGTGCGCTCTCGCAAGTCACATGTACAGATCATATCTAGCTCGTAGTTTGTTATACTAGCAGAATCCTAGCCTGTCCCTGAATTTCTACACAAAGATTGCACAATCAAGACATGACATTGTTATCATTGGATGCCTGAGCAAGGAGAACCATTCATGTGGAATAAAGGCTTCCCCACTTTCTCCTCCAGGTTCCTACTGGACTGACTACTTGGCTAGCACAGTTTGTGCAATGCAGGCCTGCCTGCCTCATTTACTTAGGAGTTGTTAACACGTATCAAGTTGGTTTTCTCCTCCAATATCAAATTTCATCAATAAACTGTGTACTCCTGTTTTATTTTTTTATCAGTTTAGCATTAGCCATGACCATAGCCAAAGCCATAGTCATAGTCTTGGTGTCAAACACATTAACTGCTATCTTGTCACACATTTATGTCTGTTCTGTCTTGTTAACCTCAAAGAGTTTCTGTCATGGAGGCTGATTCACATTTATGGGATCTGAAGGGGGTCCCTCAGAGCTGTACTCTTGTCCTTCAACTTTTATGTCCACTTAATGAAATCATCTATACCTTCAGAGTTGGGCCATGTCAATTCTGTATTTCACAGTCCTGAATCAGGAGGAATAAGCTGAAACTGAATCCAGACAAGATGGAGGTGATGCCTGTTGTGAGCGACAGTGTTTTAGATGAGATTGATTTGCCAGTTTTGGATAGGGTGCACCCCTGTCATTGGTGGATCAGGCAAAAAGTTTAAGGGGACTCTTTGACCCAGTTTTCCTATTAAAGAAACAGACTGGTGCTATTACTAAGGGTATTTTCTTTTGAGCTCTGCTGATCTGATTCATACTTCTGTAACCTGTAGGCTAGATTACTATAGCATGCTGTACATGGAATTGCCTTTGGAAACAACTTGGTGCAGCTGGTGGAAAATGGTTGAATTGGTGCAAAATGCAGCCTCCCATTTGTTTAAATATGTATGCACCACTAACAACAAACCAGATGCCCTGGGTACCTATATTCTTCTGAATTCAATTCAAGGTGTGGCTTGTTTGCCATTAAAAGACTTAGTGAACTGGACTCACTTATTTGAAAACTGCCTGACCATTTAAAAGCCTGTTTTACTCCATGCTACAATTGCTGCTTGCTGCCTCTTCCCTCTGGGTGCTATGTACATCTACAGCTCATGATCATGAGTACTTTGTTAGTACCCCTACTCTGTGGAATAGCTTGCCTGAAGAGTTGTGAAGCAGTGCTTTTCCACAGTGCCTTGGCTGCTGAAATTTTTATGGCTATTGTGATTAGGGATGGACATGAACCGGCACCTTTACTGACACATGAACCGGGGGTTGTTTCCACACAGATGTATAAAGGTGCAGGCTGCAGTTTGTCTTAT